GGGAAGGAAAGGCGGCATAGGTGGAGATCTGTCTGATGTAGTGGTAGTGGTGTGTGTGTGTTTGGGTGTATGTATGTGTGTGTGTGGTGGTGGGGGGGGTGCCCACATGAACATGCGGAGCAGCAAGGGAAGGGCATCAGCATGGCATGCAACCAGTGTCCTATGGCTCACCTGACATGGTTTCCAGGACCTAAGAAGTTGGATGGCCTCATACTATAATATACTTCTTGCTGAGACATGCTATGCACATTCCATGTGCACTAGGTCCTGAACTGGATATAGTGTAGTTGTATTTGTGATGTGCTGCACACATGCCAGTAAGTTATAGCTCTCAGTTATGCTACAATAACACAACTATACCACTTCCAGTTCAGAAACTAGCGTGCATGGAGTAAGCACAATACATCTCAGAACAATGCTGCTGTAATATATGCTACTATAAATAGTTCTTTCAAACCCAGTTTGCTGTGTGAATGTAATAAAAGCCCAGAAGTGCAAATGAAGCAACAGCAGTTTCCTACAACTGGTATCTTCTCTTAGGACCAGATTTTTCTAGCCTATTGTATAGTCATGCACAGGCTTCAAAAAGAACCTCACCAGCTGGGCTAGGGACAGACATTTGAAAAGCCTGAGCCTGAATTGATTCAATCTTTACAGGTTAGTCTAATCTGCTTAGGTTGAACCATTTTGCAACTACATAGACATTCCCTCTGGACTGAAGAAATGCAGGCACATATTTGAAGTGGCTTAGGCTAGAAGTTGTGGAAACTAGAGCATCCCTCCCTACCCTTCTATAGTGCTGAGCTGAGGGAGGCATGGCCAGGCCCCAGCAGTATGCTCTGATTAGGGAGGTATGGAAACCTCTACCTTGGCCTGCACCATTTTAGGATTTTCCCTGCTTACTGCTCAAGGGGTGGGAGTGCTGCCAGGCCCCTGCCCTGGGCTAGCACTCTGAGACAAAGGGGTGGTGAGCATTGCATGCATCTGTTGATGATATTGAACTTCTCGATCTCCCCCTCCCTGCTCCTTCATACTGACAGGGCTGAAAACCAGCAGATGGCTGATAAAACCGCAATGTTTATCAGCCCATCAACAAAACAAAAGCTTCCCTTATTAGTTCAACCTCTTTTTAAACAGCTTTTTCCAAGGAAGGAATGGGGGGATATTACCAGCCAACCTGTTGATTATCTCCAAGAAGCCCTAAATGGACCCTGTTCTGTCTGTCTTTGTCCTGTCCCAGTGAAATTGGAAATACACAGACACCTCTCAGCATTAGCTAGCATACCACATGCCTAGGGTCCATGGGAGCTGTGCTGTGGGAGATGAGAGGGAGGGTTAGGAGAATCTCTGCTTGAGCAGCAAGCAGGAAGGAAAGCCAGGCAAACCCCGCTGTGCCTGCATACTCCCCCAGAGCTCTATCTAAAGAGGAGAGGGGCAGGGCCAGCCTGTTCTCTGCAGCTGACAGCCCAGCCCAGCCTGGGGCTCCAAAGCATCTGGGATGATGGGGGACTCTGGTTTAACTTAAAACAGGAAGGGGTCTGGGACAGACATTGCATAAACTGGTTTGACCCAAATCAGTTAAATCTGATACTACATCAACCAGGTTTATCTTAAACCACTTTCAGCCATTTTGAAACTGGTTTATGTGCACTAAACTTATGTTCTATTACAGGTTTAAACCAGTTTCTGATGACTTAAACTGGTTTATGAGTAATGTCTGTCCCTAGCCCAGAAGTTACAGAGTTGGCTAGGCTTTCCAATGGTAATTGGGGCACCATACTAAATGACAGTGCATCATGCACACCCTTCCCATGGCCCAACAATTTCAGAGAAGTATCACTCCGCCCCTCCCCCTCCACACAGACATTTTAAATTGAATTTTTAAATCAGTGGGAATCCAGGCACCAACTAAGATTTTCAAAGGTGCTTATCTGCGCCCTTAGGTAGCTAAATAGTGCTAAGAGATTACAGGTATCCTAGCAACCATGTTAGGTCTTCAGAGATCTGGTCTTCCATTAACTGGTGCTAATGACAATTTGCCAGTGATGTTCAGTAGTCCCTGTTGTGTATATCTGCATTTACAGAAGCGGGGCTAAGAGTGAAATTCATTCTACTCTGCTGAATTATGGGGAAGTAGCCCAGGAGGAAGCCCAGCACAAAAGTGTTGGGGGTGTGATTGAAGTTAAAATAATCATGTAATTAGATGGTAAATGTAGTTTAAATGTGGCTACATTTTGTGTCAGATTACAATGATTAATATTGCCTCTGATTGGGCTTGCAAAGGAACATGTTAATATATTATTATATAATGTATTATTATGTATTATATATAATAATACAAAATAACTTCACTGAATAGTTAAATTAGTATTAAAGATCGTGAAATGAGGAGATTTGAAATGTGCCTAAAAGGAAGTGTGTCTGAAGTATTATTGCTATGTCTTTTTGGGGATGTCTCACTTTTTTGAACAAAGAAAGGAATAGAACTGGTAGTGGCCTCTTTTGGAGCACAGCGATCCTTGTCATTACCTTCTTATCAGGTTGGGAGAATTCTAGTATTTTATCTCCCTATTATGAATCCCATTTTGCCAAATATTTAAATTTTCCTGCCCCTTTCCTGCACAAAAGTCTACAAAGAAAAAAACAAATGAAAGCAAAACCTCTTCTGTATTAGCATTTCTGGTGAGTAGTGGGAAAGTTTCCAATGGAAAAAAAAATAGACAGCTACAGACCAGCATACTGAACTCACAGAAGTAAAGAATATACTTGCCTCAGTTTCCTGCAGTTCTTTCTGTCCCACGTCAGTACAGCATATTGTAAACATATCACTGGGTCACATTTCTCAGCATTTTGCCTCTTTTGCTTCATAGAGGGGAATTGCAGAGCTCGTGGTATCCAAACTTTTTATTGTGTATCTTCCTTGAGCAGGAGGGAAAGCATAGTTTATTAAATGCACACTTTGGTACAGTGTACTGTTGCCATATGGCTTATGAAAGGTCATGTTTCCAACCCTACTCAACCTGCTGCCTCAACATACTTGCCTTTATGTACTTTGGGAAAATCTGTTCAGGTATACTCTGTTCTTTAGCAAGAGATGGGATTGTTGGATGTAGCTCACAACATAAGAGTGGCATACACATGCTGATTAGAGGTGGGAAGGTTCTAGAATAGCTAAACTTTCCACCTACTGACATCTGGGGAGCCTGCGCAGTAGCTTGTGTGGTCCAGTAGAGTGCTGCGTGCTACACCTGAGTGCTGAGAGCACAATAATAGGGTGTCATGTGTACATAAGTATGATTGGTGAGAAGAATGACTAACACATGGTGTGAATCCTGAGGCATGATTCGGCGTCCAAATAAAATATGGATGCTTGAGAGTACTTGAGGATTGACTACTATGCAAGCTTACTTGGCTTGTGATCATACCTGCATGTCTGAGGCATGTGAGCAGTGACTGTAGCAGTGAGAGAGAGGGGTGACCTATTGGATTGGATTATAATGGGTACTTACCTGTAACAGTGTTAGTGGATCGGGACCTCAGTCATCCACTGGATTGGCAATTAGCACCCTTTCCTCACTCTTGGTCTGAGTACACTCTGAGGGAAAAGACGGAGGGCCTCAATGTCACTCCAGCTCAGTGAGTCTGTGAAGGCCCTGACGCTGCGCTTCACTGTGCTCTGGCCGGTCTGTTTATGGTGTATTGCAGTTAACCAGCGTATATAGTTAATACTTGTGGTTATGTACATTTCCTATTGTTAATCTTGGGTTTTTTTGTGATTGCGAGTTTATAATATACTTTTGAACTTCATTGGAGCCTCTATGTATTTATAGGGTATATGAGGGTGGGCTGTAGCTCTATGTATATCCCTGACCCCAAAATCCACCCCTAACATAGATAACACAGGAAAGGCCCTGGCTATCTGAGGAGACCTAACAACCCTCCGCCCCTTAGATTTCTCATAGGTGGTCAGTGTCCAGGACACCCGGCGGTGTCCACCTTTCAGGATACCCAATAGAATAGCACAGGAAACATACATGAAGAGTGTTTATAGACATACTTTGGGAGTGGGGGTGGAGAGGAGCACTTTGCTTAGAGCAGCTTCGAGAGCCACTCATCCAGGAGGTGTGTGTGTGTGTGTGTGTGTGTGAGAAGCTCCCACCACTGTGCACCACACATCTGGGAGCCACTCATCCTGTGGCTCATCCATCACCTGGCCACCCATCCAGCAGCTCCCACCACTGCTCCTGCTGCTCATCTGGGAGGGCATGGGCGGGAGAGGTGTGCCTCCAGATCTGCACATGGCAGGACAGGGTGGGCTTTTCCCAGTGGGGTGGAGTTGAGCTTGGGGTGGATAGCAGCAGTGCTGGGAAGGAGTTTTGGGGGGGACTACGGCAAATTTTGTGTTGTCTATAGCCCCCCCTCCATAGTCCCCTCCCAGGCCTGCTGCCATGCATGCACAGGTCATTTATCAGCCAAGCTATCGGCCATATTAGGTAAATTCCCAATTGTAGTCTCCCATGCAGTCCACCCATGCATCATGTCCATAGGGTCTTTTCTGGTTTCACCTTTGCTTAAGGAAGATATAGGATTATTATTAGGCTATGTCTTGGGAGGTCCCCCAGGGGGTGTCTCCTACCACATCTTGCTGGAAATTATTTTAATTGGGAGGAAGATGGTTTGTTCTGCCCTTCCTTGTAACTTCCTTCAATCTTACAGATTGCTCTTCCTGCTTGGGGCTCCACCTCCCCTACACCCCACTTAATGCCAGCCAAAGTTGTCATCTCCAGATTATTAGAGTTGGTATGGTATGATCTCTGGTGTTTCAGCCCTCTGAATTTATGAAGGTCGAATCTGGTTGTTATCTCGTCCAAGTTTTCCTGACTGTACTTTGTCCTGCCTAAGCATCTTCCAGACCCTGGGTTACCTTGCCCCACAGCATCTCTATCTCTCTCACAGCTCTATACTTGTTGCAGCTCAGATGTTCATCTCTTCTTGTCCCTTCAGGTCCTCCCTGGGTCCAGTCTGGGTTGGAGATGTCTGATGCCCACGGTGCTCCTTTGGGTAAGTTACTGAGCTATGTCTGGCTCTGCTTATTTAAAAAAAGCCCCTTTCTGGGGCAGCCACAATGTCCCTGCAGTGGGAATCTGCTCTATTTCTGGCCACTCTGGGCTGATCAGGGACCTCACTTCTGGTCCTCCCAGCTCTTCTTCTGCCGGGCTTTTTATGCTGGCCTCAGGGGGCCGGCAAGTCGACCCCAGCATGCTGCCATAAAGTGTGCCCACACCGATGCAAGAGTTACCCTGGCTCCTCCCGGCTCTGCCATTTTTTCCTGTTTTTTTTTTTCCTTTTACCGCAGCATCTTCACCTACTGCAGTATAATTTTTGCTTTGTTTCTGTTCCGGTGTGGTGTCCCACTGGCTCCGCTTCTTGCCTGGCTGAGGTAAGTCTTGCCTTTCCCATGTATACAGACAATTTTCTTTATATCATCGTGTTGCCTCCCATGCCTTTCCCCTGAATGCTGCAGGTGTGGGTTCTTCTTGAGCCTCACCATGGCTCCTAAGGCAGCACAGCCTGACTATTGGGGTAACTTTGGGTCAGTCCCCCAGGGGTCTCACCTGCCATATCTTTGATGATGATAATTCTTCTATGGGGAGAATGATGTCTGGTCCTGCTTCCCCTGGTGCATTCCCTTGGTCATTCCCATTGTTCCTTCTTTTTGGGGCTCTGCCTCCCCTACACCCCGCCTACCACCAAAAGCAATGTTGTCACCTGCGCCATCGAGGTTGATAATATGAACCTTCTTGGCACTTGGTCTCTTGGAGTCTTTGGCCACAGGCTAATGGCAATGTTTCTTTGCTGAGCATCCCCTGCGGCCTCCTCTTTCCGGGCCTACATGGTGTCCAGCTTCAGCAGCGCTCCATCCCCCCATGTGTTGATTCCTCCCCGGGTTTGGTACCTGCCGTCTGTCTGTTGCATCTGGATCCTGACCCTGCTGGGTCCAGCTGTACTCCAGTCATTACTGTTCCTCCTTTCGGTCCACATCGACTCTGTAGCTAGCTCTTTGGGCCCTCCCTGGCCCTGAGTCCCCATCGTAACCCCTTTCTGGGGTCTCCACCAGGTCCTCTCACTGGGACTGCCTGAGTGCTCTGGCCTGTCTGGGCTGGTTGAGGACTCCACTTCCGGTCCTGCCGGCTTCTCTTCCTCCAGGTATTTTATTCCAGCATCAGGCATCTGCCCGACCAATCGGCCCCACCACGCTCTTATAAAACATACTCAGGTCGATGTGGGAGCTGCTCCCATCTCCTCCTGACTTCTCTGCTTTTTTTTCCTTTTGCTCTTTTGCCACGGTGGCTCCGGCTGCCACAGTTTCACTTTTGCCACAATTGGGTCCCGGCTTGGTGTTCCACCACCTCCCCATTTCTTCAGGTAAGTTTTCTTCACATGGTGCCAATCTTAAAGCAGCCTGATAAATCAGTGCACCTCTAATTAGGTTGTCTTGTTCACACTGCAAAAGAGTTCACCAAAGATCTTACAGGATATAGAAAGAAATATGGTTATTTGAATATAGCCACTAATACTGTTAGAAATAATCATGGTTACAAGATAGATAAGTAGTTTCAGTGAATAAGTCTTATGTGAGGAAATAAAGAGTTCAGTATAAAAGTACAATTACATACACACATACATATGTACATATCTATATCAATAGATTAATTTACTTATTGATACAATTCTAAGGGGAAAAAACAAACAAACTAGAAAACCTATGGGGAAACCCAGTTCTGACTTGCATTTTAAGATTTATTTTTAAAAATCCAGAGTTCTATCACTTTTTAACCTAATGCTATCCTTGATTTGTTTTAGTTTGTTTGTTTGTTTGAAATAACTCTCTATTTTTTTTTCTTTGTCAAAATGGATAAAACATCAATTAAAAAGGATTTGAAGACCAAACAGATATTTATTCAGAAATTTGAACACTGTTCAAAATTTAAATAATGTTTCAAAATGTGTCCTATGGTGTTTCAATAAACACTAATTAGAATCTGATTAGAATAGATCCACTCTTACCATGCTACTTCAGAATACATGCACTCCACTACAAAGAAAGAAAAATAATTGTATTTTAGAAAAATAATATTCACAATGTGTATATGCTAAATTCATATTTAATAAGTTATACTTCAGAGATACCAGCACAATGGAAGCTGTAACACATTGCCTTTATTGCTGTTATTAAAAAAAGAGGAATCCCTAGTTTTGCATTACTTGTCTATTTTTTCCCCATTCAGATAACATGGACATTATCAAAATGTGTTGAAGAGCTTGTGCATCTTGGATGGTTTTATTGACAGCAAATTTCCTGCCAGCAGCTGATAAAACAGCATTACCTCTCCCTTAAGATAAAACATGAATGACACTTGCCATGATAGGAATGTTATTAGTCAATTACAGTTGGAATGTTTAATGACATTAGATTTCATCAGAGCTTCAAATCACAAGTAAAAAGAATGATTCTTTTATCTACACAAAATTGTTCCTTGCAAACAATTGTCATTTTGTTAAAATAATAAATCATAGTGTGGCAAAATTACTTCCTGAGATATTTTTCAATATGCACCAGCACTTTTATGTGATATTATTTTCAAAAATGGTGACTCAGCACTACACAATAAGTCTCACCCTCTCACCTTCACTTTCTTTCTTTTTATATACATTCAGGAGGGAAACCCCCCCAACAAAAACATTTTTTTTTACACCTTTACCAGCATGACAAAATATTACATGTATTTCCTAAATTTAACTATGAAGTCCCAAGAGACACCAGATTTTCAGTAATGTTTAGCACTTTTATGGGCCAAATATGTTCCCATGTTGAGCAGAAACAGAAAGAATAATTTCAGAGACTGAAGGTATCCTAGCAACTATGCTAGGGCTTCATAAATCTGTAATTTAACTGACTTTTGCTAATAACAAGTGATAGTTCATTGTGTCCATCCTATGAGTAAGTATTCTTATAGGAGGGTGGCCAAGTCATTTCACCCTGTTTAAGTATGGGTGAGTATCCTAGGAATCCTTCACATAGGTGCGAACACATTTTAAAGCTCTATCCAGCCCAGATAACAGGAACTGAGAGATAATGCTACATAGGGGGTGCATCTACACAAGATGCTTTACTGCTCAGCAGAGTAGTTTACTGCACGGAAAGCACATTCATCTACATGTCTACATGCTGACTGAGCAGTAAACCTCACTAATCAGGAGGAAATTTCCTACCTACAAATGCAAGTAGCATATTTACTAACTGGGAAGTAGTGCTCGTGTAGACACCTGACCAGGAGCAAATCCCTCATCCCAGGGGATGAGAGATGGCTCCCTGCCCCCATAAGCTGCCTGCTGCCAGGGTGGGCTTTGCCATAAGAGCCTGGGTGGGGACTCGGTCCGTCTACCCTGGCAGCAGGGAGCCCAAGCCCCCCACTCCAAGATTGTGATTGGGGAGTTGGGGCTAGGAGATTCTTATCTCCCAGCCCCCACTTCACCATGAGCCTGAGCTGTATGGTTTCTCCCACCTGTTCCCCACCCAGCTCCATGGTCATGAAGCTGAGCAGGCTCCCCAACCTCCACCCTGTGATGGCAGAGTGGGGGTTGGGAACTGTGGAGCTAATTGCTAGCTGTCCCATTGGTGGAAAGGGGTAGAAGCCTGGGACTTTCCCCTTCCTTGAAGTTCTTTCCAAGTCCTCTACCCCAATCAGGGAGCCTGAGTAGGAGCTCCGTGCTGCCCAGGGCAGGGGACATTGTCCTCACCCCAGTAGAAGGCAGTGATATCCTGGCCCTGGCCAGGAGACAGCTATCTCCTGGTTTGGTGCTCCCTTCTAGCCCCTGGACTGTCACCAAGGGGGGAGTTTAGACTTCTTCCTGGTTGTGGCAGAGGCCTATTGCAATGCCCCAGGAAGTGGAAGCAGTTTGCTGCAATTAGCAGCAAATCTGATCCCACTTCCCTTCATGTGCAGATATCTACCCAGGAGAGTTTACTCAGAAGTAGTTTAGTCATGAGTAAACTGATCCCAGATCTAATCCACATTTAGACACACACAGGAAATATCAAAACCTTATTTTTATTTCTTATTCCCCAAAATACAAATTGTCCTTTTCTGTACCTCAGTTGTATCAACATCCTGGATAGTGTATTAGACTCCTGTATTCTGGGATAAAAGCCTCTGAAAGTTTTGGGACACTCAGAACCTGAAGTAAAGAATAATATGCAGAACTTACCAGAGAGGACTAACAGTTAACCTCATCACATGTCTGACTATATTTAGAATGCCAAGGAAAAGATATGGAGAAGATGAGATATATATATCTATATATATATACACACACGCACATATACATATTCATACATATTTAATGTAAAAAAATATATATATATAAATGTATATATTATAATTTAATATCTATGATATATATGTATATTATATGTTTATATTTATATATATTATATATGTGTATAATATACATATGTATATATTATATAAATATACATATTTAATGACGAGGAATTTTGTCTTAGATTATTCATGGCAACTTGCCTAGCCCTCTTTCCTCATGGCCTCAGATACTAGTCTTAATAAATAAATACATACATAAATCAGTAATATCAGTACTAGCAAATTACCTAAAATTCCCAGGTATAAACTAATATCTATTCTAAACTGGTCCACCTATGTCCAAACCATGTTGCGGCAGTTCAACCAATTTCAATTCTGAGGGAGGGAAAGAAGAATGGCATTATTTTTACTTTAGAAATTAGAAATAACCATATTACTGCACCTTGATCAAGGCATATTCTTAGCAGATATTACTTCAGAAGGAACTCAATCCATTACTTTCCCAATTTAGTACTGCAAAATGTATGCTTCTTCCAGAAGGGGCAAAGAACATTTTTTCTTCCTAGTTTTTTTTTTTTTCTCAGGAGTTTCAATAACTGCATCCTACATTCCTCAGTTCCCCAGTGACTAAATATCATATCCCTTACTCATTCATAAATCTCCTTGAAATCTTTGAGTGTTCTGAGGATTTGCCACATATTAATATGTATACATACAGTAGAGAAATTGGGGTAGATAAGGTTACTTTATTCTCTGTACATATTCATAAAAATAAAATCTACTCCTTAAAAAAATAAAATCTGGCCTTCCCTTATGTATAGACAGTTCAGTCACTGCAGTTGTACTGCCCTACAGTTTTACCAGGAGGGCTGCAGTGATGATGTTTCTTTCATCCTATGGGGTAGATGAAGGCAAGGTAATCCCATGCCTTTCATGCACTTCACATGTGTCTTTTGAGGTCCCTCTGTTAGTCAAAGGGAGATTGAACTGGTCTCCTGATCTATTCAACTTCTACCTCTTTGCTGTGACAGTTGACAAATATCACCTCTCAGGTGGACAGCTATACTCTAGTAAGCACATTCATGACCTTGATAAGAGCTTTATAAAGTAAACAGGAAAAACTGTTTTAAGCTGAAAATATCTTTGTCTCTTGCATATTTCCTGGACTTTCATGATCACAAAAACACTTCAAAATGATCTTAAAATGTCCAAGTGCTCCAGCATGTCTTTAAAAACAAACCCAATAAGAACAGCTGTCACATGGATAAACTCCAATATAGTGCATATGTGACCCATACAGAAAGCTATTACTATCTTCTCTCATCTTAATGTGTCATATTCAATAAAACAAAGATAAACATAGCATTTTAGTTGCTTTCACTCTAGCTTTCCACAAGTTCATAAATCTCTGGGAAGTTTTTCAAATATAAGGAAAAAAGTGAACAAGCTTGTCAAAAAAGATAGTGTCAAAAATGAAATGCACTTAAGATTTCAGAAATCATTCAACCATTTCTGAATTAATCGGATCATGGATAATAGAATATAGCAAGCAATATACTGTAAGTCATGTGTTGCTGGCTGTCCTGAGCCAGACAGGCAGTTGTTCTGGGGCAGACTATTACAAAGTGGTCCTTAAGTGCATGCACAACATATTGACAAAGTTGTGCTTTATTCACATATTGTAAAACCAGCATGATATAATTGAAACTCTATCACTAAACGGTCAGACTATAGCTAAGGTTTTATCCTTGAGCATCTATGGTGGTGAGAGATTCAACACACCTCTGCAAATGTCTGATCTGGTTAATACTGGAAGACATTTCTATTCTCTTTTCCTTTTTAGAACTTTCTTGCAACGTTGTGAATACTGTCTTCTAGCTATCCTATTCAGTGCATGCAGTATCTGTTGTTAGTAGGTACCCCAAAATACAGTAGATGATTTACAGACATTGCAAGAGGAACACTTCCTGGTTCACAGTTCTCATAATATAGTGCTGTTGTTAACATTCAAATGTCTCGATAGACAGAATGGCAGAAATAGACTTTTAAATATAGTGATTTCTGGGCTAAGTACAGACAGTCAAAAATCCTAAGGCTGAATCTTCACAGGTTAGTTTAGAGGAAGCCCAAAGCAGGAAAAAAATATCTTTTGTTGTTTAAAACAACATCTAAGATGAATCGTCAATGTTTGAATTTTGTGAATTGCTGATTTCCATGAGGGTTTTATCAGGTGGATACCTAGGTCTTTGTGCTACCACAGTCGTGAATAGCCTGTATCAAGTATATTATGTGATGTTATGTCATATATTGATGGCACAGTAAGACGCATTTTTAAGGCAAAAAAACAATATATCTGGAATGTTTGCTACATATAGAGCCTCAAGTCCAAACTAATTTTCTAATACTTGATGCAACTTCAAATATTGCCTTTCACTTGTTTTTAGGTCAGATTCATCACACAGCTCACAAAGGATTTAATTTAATTTCCTCCTAGGACATTTTCTATATGCATAATATCTTTAAGTGTAACTTTTGGCACTTACAACCATATTAGAATTCAGCTCTGGGTGCCCAAATGGTGACCCATCCCTTTTAGTCATGCTAAAATCTCACAGGTGCTACCAAACATTGGATGTTAATCTCCATTATCCAATCCTGTCAATCTTTCATCCATGCACACTTCAGCCCTAATATCAGCTACAGTCAGTGTGGGCCTCTAAACATGAAACAGTATTTGCTCTTGTTCAGGCCTCCAGCCCCACTGCCTTTAACCATCCCAGCCCCTACTGGGCTCACACCTACGTACATCAGACAATCTCAACCTTTTTTGGGCTCAGACCTGCATTTTCTTCCCCTCCTTGGATCAGACTTCTGTCTCTTTAACTGTACCTACAGGACCCAGGCCTATATTCTCTATCCCTCCTGGGCTCAGGCTTTATTACCCCCAGGAGACTCTGCCCTTCCCAGGCTATGGGCCTTCTGGCCCTGCTTGTTCTTGCCCTACTTGGGCTATGGGTCCCTGACCCTTGCTTTTACCTCGCTCAGGTTGCCCTCTCTCATCACTCTGCTGCTCCTCCTTGGACTCAGCCTCTATTCCTCAGGCCTTGGCCCCACTCCTGGGGCAGTTGAGAA